ACTCGTGCAGCCACTGTGGGAAGCAGTGCAGAGGTACTTCAAAAAATTAAAAGTGGATCTGCCTTTTGACCCAGCAATCCCACTTCTTGGAATATACATTTCTGTACACTGACTTTTATAAATCCTGGCTTTTCTAACCTCAATTTATTCCCTCAATTTCCAAAGTTAGGGTTCCTTCAGTTGAAAGAAATATTCATGTGGTATCTTTCACATACAAGGATGTCATTTCCAGTTCAGTTAAGGGTGCCCTTGATGTGTCCATGAATTTGCATGAATCCATACACAATAAATTGTAAGATATTGCCATTTTATAAGAGAACTATTCCTAAATTAAAAAAATAATATCTACTTGCCTCTACACTAATTAAACCATTTCTCAATATTTCGTTGCCACCGTAAAAGCTTATATGGTTTAAAATGCTTCTTAAATGAGTGGGTAGCAACAGGGCAGCCAATGTTTGGCTTGAAATCAGTGGCTACAGGATCCTGAGAGGTTGCTGGAGTCCAAGTCATGGCCCAACCACTGACTAACAATATGCACTAGAAAACATTCTTGTCTCATGCTTCATGCTTTGGAGGGCTCCAAGTACCAGTTTTGGGCACAATTAGTGATGGGCTTAGTAGCATTTATTAAATGAAACATTGCCTTCATATACTTAAAATCATCATTAGGCTGAATTAATGCAAGACAGTCCATCAAATTAATTAAGTACATTCTTAATATCTATTAGTCTTGATATTTTTACTACTCAATGTTTATAATCTTAAAAATTCAAAGTAATTTGCCTGCTTACTTATTCAGATTAATGTTGTATTTTCAAAGCATGGATTATTTTTCATTCTCATCTTTCACATTTTTCAATCCCCTGCCTGACCTATGGACAGAGCTTCAGTTACAAAGAGAACTTTTGTGACTAATTCCCTAATTCAGTTGGTTATCTTGACTCTTTTCTATGCCATGGAAGATTCCCTGTATCTGGAAAGGTATATTAAGAGATATACTGCTGATCTTCCAGGCTTTAACTCCTAGTATTATAAACCCCATGCTTCAAGTAGAGAATATCTTTAGAGAGATATGCACCTCTCCATTCACTGCAGCATTATTCATGGTGGTCAAGACATAGAAACAACCTAAGTGTTCTCTAATGGATGGCTGGATAAAAGGGACGTGGTACATATATGCAGTGGAATACTACTCAGCCATCAGGAAGAATAGATATTGTCATTTGCAACACCATGGATGGATCTTGAGAGTATCATGCTAAACAAAGTCAGTCAGATGGAAAAGGACAAAATCCATATGATTTCATTCATCTGTGGGATACACAACAGAAAGCAACAAACAAAACAAACTCACAGGCACAGACAGTAGTATGGTGGTTACGAGAGAATAGAGTGTCAAATACATGGTGATAGGAGACTAGACTTTGGGTGGTGAGCACACAATGCAATATACAGATGATGCATTATAGAATTGTACACTTGAAACTTACATATTATTAATTAATGTCACCCGAATAAATTTAATTTTTAAAATTCATAATTAAATGTTGGGAAATACTTTTAAAGTAATATATCTTTAGAATATAGGTGTACAGAATAAGGAAAATTCCTAAGAAAACGTATTTGAGAATCTTCCCAAGTCTCAAAGAACGACATATAACTTAGAAATATACTATTTGAATAGAAGGTAATTGGTGACAATAAAAAAAGTTGTAGACAAGTTGGTGGCAATATCACCATTAACATTTACACATCTCTTAATACATTATATTTAGTAAATCAGGTTAGCCCTGGTATATAACTCACAATTCACTTATTTCTTCTTCTACTATTGTTATACCATCAACTGCATGCTAAACAATGTTATATATTATTTATGTATACATATAGTATATATAGCAATATTAGCAAAAATATTACACATTTGGATATGAATTTGAAACCCTTACTATATTATATTAATTATAGTTGAAGTCTAGAAAAAATATATAAAACATGCTAATGCTTATGCCTAACCTTTTTTTTATTTTTATCTGCTAAGTTCCAATTTCTTGTGGCTGTAAAAATTATTTTTGCATTTAAAACAAAAAAGGAACAAGTGCATTCCACTTTCAATTAATATTTATTTTTGTAAATTTTTAACTACACTTAGAAAAAAAAGAACTTTTTAGGTCCAAAGTTGTAGAGGATGAAAAGAATTTTAAATTATTTCAAATATATTGAGATTGTTCTACTATTCTTTGAGACCCTTTAAATCACCTCTTTGATGATTTTTCCTAAAATCTCAGAGAATTAACAACACAATGTAATCTAGGTTTAAATCTGGGTTCCTCTTGTGTTTAAGATATTTATGTTTGAGCTTTCCCTTACCGACAAGCCACTTAAAGAGTCACTGTTACTTTGAGATTTTATCTGTGAAATCCCTGTCTTTGGAGCTCATTAAGAACATTTACAAAGATTACAATGTCAATAGCAACTAATTTCTGGACTGTGAGAAAGGTCTTCTTGAGTACATAAAATCTGTGGCAGTGCACAGTACACAATGGGCAGCTCAGATCCCAAATTTTATCACATTTAAGTAGCAAACAAATTAATAATGTTACCTGGGCTCTCTTGGGATAATTAGGACTGAGTAAAAAACTGCTTTGAAATTCTGGAGATAGTATTGTACCTCATTTTTTATTCCCTTTGATTAACAAAGATTTATCACTTTATCTCTTTTTGCATGACTCTCTGTTGTTCTCTTTAAAGTTTTTTTTTTAATTAAAACTTGCAACATAACAAAAAGTTATTTTCAATCTGCTTAGGAAAGATATATTAGCTCATATAACATTGTTTTAAAGTATATTTTATGTGCTACTTCACTCTTTGCAAAACAGCTACTGTATATTTTAATACTAATGATGGACTTTATTTTTATACTTGTGCTTGGTAGAGAATTGGTTACAAAAGAACTGATGGAGACAGTGGCTCTTTTAAATCACTAGCATACTGCTGAGATCATTATGGCTGTCCTGTGGCATTTAAAATGTAGACTTTATTTTGAGGACGGGATTCTATTATCAACAGCTCAGGAGGAAAGGTAGGGATAGGGGTTAGCTAGGCAAAACGTGTTATCTCACTTAATCGTCATCGCAAAGCTAGGAGACAGGGTCACCATCTCCATTTTACATGGGCAGAGAAAATTGAGATGAAGTCACTCAGTGAGTAAGTGGCTGGAACTGAGATGGAAACCAAAGTCTGTCCGCCTCCAAAGCCTTTGTTACATCATGCGTTTTCCTGTTGTGCTGTTGAAAACGGGACAACACATCATGTATGAGTCTTGGGGCAGGTCAGTATAACTGAGTGGTGACAAGTTTGGGCTCTGGGGTCACACTTTCTGGGTTTGAATTTAAGCTCCTCCACTGACTTGCAGTGTAACCCCGGCAGCTTACTCAACCTCGTTGTATCCAGTTGTCTCCTCTGTGAATTGGGGAAAAGCTAGAGTTCTGATCTCTTAGGGTTTTGTGGGGATTGAAGTCACACCCTGAAAGACGTTTAGAACAGGACCTCCACCCAGTAAATGTCAGCTATAAACAATTTTTTTTTTACTTTTAAATATACTATTTTAAAATACAATTTATTGAGGTGACCTTGGTTTGCAAAACCATGCAGGTTTCAAGTGTACAACTCAACAACATCTGCACACTGCGTTGGGCACCATTGCTCCGAGCAAAGTCTCTTTCCATCCCCATTTCCCCTGCTTTTCCCCTTTGCCCACCTCCACCTACCCCCACCCCCTTTTCCCTCTAGCTATACACAAATCTTGTGATGTGAAAGTGCAACTTAAGAACCTCAATCTTTGACATGGCACTGAGGATGCTGTAACAGGAAAGATAAATATTCATCAGAGTATTTAAAATATTAATATTCTACTGAATATTCTAAGAAATGGAACTCAATACAACAGTGACTTTAACGAGCTCAGTTTGGCTTCTGTCGCCAGATGGGTTATAGTAAAGCAACTCTCCTGCCACTTTATAGAAACTAATGAAGATTTGTCTATAAGTCAGGTAACGAAACACCTCTTTAATAATGTATTTGTGAATTAGTGCTGGAAAACACTAATAACGTATTAAACTATTTTTAGGAGCCTGAAGTGTGGGAGGTACTCAGACTTCTGAAATATCAGAGAAGCTTAGAGTGACTTGTTTCATGAAGACAATTTGGCTCTTTAAATGCCTAGTGTGGCTACCATTCAATAGTTATAACCACTAAAATATTCATTTACTCCACAAATTAGTAAATTTGCATTGATTTATTTGTTTTTTATTAAAAACAAAAATTTATTTCTAGTAAACTTTGGATTAACTGGAATCCAATTAACCAGAAACTTTTGTTAACTGGGTTATTTCCTCTAAGTTCAGAGGGAAGGATAAGACCTGTCAAAGCTTTAGCTGAGATTTAGTAGAAAGAAACTTCAGGGTTATATTCAGAGGCATTTGGTGTGAACATTGTCACCTACACCTCTTCTGCAATGCAGATCTACATTCAGAATATGGAGTTGAGTGGCATACCACAGAATTATGGATCATAAAAGAAACAGTTACATTCAGTTTAATTAATAAGGTAAAAAACTGGACTAATGAATTTTAGGAGGATTTTAAGTCGACGGTGGAAATAAGTGTACATTTTGCATTTTCAGGACTGAGGAAAGGGAGTGACATTTGTTTCAGCTGTCCATTTGTACTACCTCAAATGGACCTTTGAAAAATGGTTTGCTTGGCTAAGTAAAATACCTTTTGGATGGAAACTCCTCAATTGAAATTTTGGGGGGATGAAATGCTGCTGTTAATTAAAATTTCTGGCCAACCACAGATTCCAAATCACTAAGCTATATTTTCACGATGAATCATGAAGTCTCTCTTCTAATACATTAAAATGTTTTAGAAATAACTTACCATACGGATTGGGATTTCTAACTCAACAGATCTAATCACTAATTTAAAAGCTGATACCTTTAAAAGGTCGTGGCTGTGTCTTATAGAGGCCAGTCTGAGCCTTACCATAATCTAAATGCCAGCCCAGGAGGTAACCAGCGCTGCGACCGCTGAACGAGGCCTTCGTACCCAGGGCGGGCACCTCTGCAACAGATACTGCCGATACACGTAAGCACTACAGAAATAGCCTTTCCATTGCATGGAAGCCCAGAAGAAAGGTTCCTCTCTGCTGGAGATCAATCTAGCTTTCAAAGAGCAGAAGATTTTAAAATTAGGGCCCAGGGTTTAAATTCTTATCACACAATTTTCCCTTGCATAAAGATCTACTGTAAAAGTCTACTTTTAACATTCCCAGGCATGAAAAATAAAAATCACTGACACCTTTTGGGGTTATCATCAATAATAATAATTTAGATTAATAATGTCATATTTTGTTAATCCAACTTGTTTAGTAGAGCCTACGAATAGCTTTAAATGATGAATTTCTTTAATTGTATTTAATCATCCTGCCACTCAACAGCCTCAGCTAGACTGTTGGTAATAGAAAATTAAAAGGTGGGGGCCAGTTTAAATAATAGAAAAGAAAAAGAATTCCAATTGAGATAGCTTTTAGTTTTGAAATATGTCTAAGTTCATTTTCAAATAGCAACAATCAATATTCAGAAATACATAATAACATTCTTTTATTCAGCATATCTAGGTATTAGTTTTATAAGCTGTCTGAAAAAAGTCGTACATTCATTCAGAATACCAAACACTTCAGGATTACAAAGAAAAGCAATGTTATTCTTGACTAAGTACCCATTCATTCTGTGTTTGAGCCTTTTTTCCAACCATAAATATTCTTATCTTTTAATGGAGGCAGAAAGGATTTCTGATCACTGACTGTGTCCATGTTCTTGTTGTTTATCTGTAGATTAAACCATAATGTTTCATTACTGAGGCTGAATGTTATTGACTGATTAAATGTTTAATAGGGGGAAAAATAACCTACTTATTGAAGATGTATGAACATCACTTCCAGAAGATGTAGAATCCATTACCAAGTTTAATTTAGACTGCACCAATAAAGGTTTTACTTTCTGAAAGACACAAAAGGTACGTACTGTGTTGTCAAGTGGAAATAATGATCAAATCAAATAAATATAGTGTTTTTCAGCCCTTAGTTAACCAAGATGTGAAAACCTATTTGCTCAAATATGGCTGGGGAAATCCTTTCTTTTAAACCCATGGAATAGACCTCATCCTTTTTCAGGCTTCTGTGGGAGAAAATTCAAGAAAAATTTTCAAAATTCAGTAATAATTAAAAACAGACAAATCGATAGGGGGTAGAGTGAGTTTTTTTCAAACTATAAGAGAAAGTTTATATAGAACAGAGGCAAAAGAAGGGCCCTTGGAGCTTAGGAGAGAGAAGAGTTGTTTAATGGGTATGGAGTTTCAGTTTTGTAAGAAGAAAAAGGGATTCTGGTGATTTGTTTCACAACAATGTGAATGTTCTTAAAATTATTGAACTGTACATCTAAAAATGATTAAGATGATAAATTTTATGCTATGCGTATTTTACTACATTTTTTAATAAAAGTCTTAAATAGTCCCTTTACAAAAGAAGATCTAAGAATGGCTTAAAAGCACATGAAAAGATGCACAACATCATTAACTATTAGGGAAATACAAGTAAAAACTTCAGTGAGATAGTATGTTAGCATGGCTAAAATTTAAAAACTGACAATATCAAGTTGGTGCAAATGTGGAGCAAGAGGAACTCTCAAACACTGCTGGTGGAAGAGTAAAATATACAATTACTTTGCAATGTTGGTAATTTCTTATAAAGTTAAACATATACACTCTTATGTTCCAGGTTGAGAGATAAAAAACATGTTTCCCCAAATGACTTGTACAAGAATGTTTATAGCAGCTTTTATTTTTCAAAATAGCCCTTAACTAAAAAGGGCTCAAGTATCCATCAAGAGAAAAATGGATAAACAAATCATGGTTTATTCATTCAACAGAATACTATTGAGCAATACAAAAAAAACAAAACAAAACAATTGCTACAGATACACATAATAGCATGAATGAATCTTAAAAACACTGTGCTGAGTAAAAAAAGCCAGGCATAAAAGACTGTATAATGTATGGTTATATCTACATAAATTTTAAGAACAAGCAAAACTAGCCTGCAGTGATAGAAATCAGAACAATGTTTGGCATGAGAATCTGGGTAAGTTATTGTTTGAAAGGGGCATGAGGAAACTTTTAGGGATGGTGAAAGTGTTCTATGCTTTCATTTAGGTGATGGCTACACAGGTAAAAATTCTTCAAATAAGATACCTAATATTTGTTCACTTTCTCATATACAAAATTACCTCAATACTAAGAAAATATTAAATCTTTTCTTTCATAGCATTTATTCTAATATGTAATTTAAAGTTTGATGTTTCCTTAGAAATGTCTACATTTTTGTCATTGTAGGTCAGGTACTATTCTAACCTCTGTGAGTAAAACATTTTACAAGACAGATCAGTCCATAATCTCATGGAATTTACATTATAGTCTATAAAGGAAGGAGCCATATTTGTCATGTGCACTACCTTATTCCCAGCACAGAGCATGGTGCTTGTACTCAGTAAACATTTGTGGAGTGGATGAGTGACCAGAGTATAGGGAACCAAGGGAAAATGTTAGTGTAGCCAAAATTCATTCACTCACTCACAGATCACTCTTTCTCTTCCCTTCTTTTCCTTATTTTCTTAAATATTTGTTATCAACTGTGATGAGTGTCTCAAGTGCTTACATACTGTGTGGCTATATAGGTAAGGATTCAGGAGACTGAACCCCAGATAAGCAGTGGCACATAGATGTATTCTAAAGCAGAGAGAGAACCACACCACCTCCATAGGAAGAGAGATTACATAAATACCCGAGGGCAAGGTCAAGATGTTTCTCAAAAAAAAGACGTGATCTATTACTGTGCTTGGGACTGGCATAATTTTGAGATAAAAAATTTTTTTCAGTTACAGTTTACATTCAATAACTTTTTGCATTAGTTTCATATATAGAACATAGTAGTTAGACAATCATGTACTTTACAAAGTGTTACCCCTTATATTCCTAGTACTAACCTGGCACCATGTATAGTTATTACAATATTATTAACTATATTCCCTATGTTGTTCTTTAAATCCACATGGTATCATTTTGAGATTATGGAAATTTGTTTTATAAAGCCTGGGTAATTGAAATTTGGACCAGAAAAATTTACCAAGCAATCCTAAAACAAGCCTTATAATGAATAACAGCATTCCCATGGGCTCTCCAATATTTTACTTGTCCAACTCATTATATATCTAAACTGAGGGTTACTTCATTTAAAAGTTTCAGGTGAAAAAAGGAAAACCAAAAAGGGGAAGCAGAAACTATACATATTCTTATCTATGTAGACCAGTTATGGAACACTTTCAGGAGAGTCAATTATTAAAATCCCCAGCAAGGTTCAGATTACTATATAAATTTATTTAAAAACTAAATTTAATGGCAGTGAGGTAAATGTAGGACTTAGAACCTCCCACAATCACATCAAAAATAAAACTAAACTATACTACAGAAAAACCATCATTGAGAACTACCTGAAATCTAGCCAAACAGATGTCCTATAACCTAGAGTATAAAGAAAAACCCATATGGAGACTGGTAGGAGGGGTGGTAACAAAGATTTGGTTGGTCCCATACCCACATGTGGTAGGTAAAAATTGGGTGGGATATCTCTGCTTTGGAGGCACCCCCTGGAAAGCAAGGGGTCCTGGGCCTCCACCAGGCCCTTTACCCAGGCCAGTGTTCTAGTGCTGAGAAGAGAAGGCCCCATAACTTCTAGCTGTAAAAACCAGCAGAAGCCGTATTTGATTGAAACACAGGGCTTCTGGAGTCCCAGGCAGTTCCTCTTAAAGGGCCCATGCACAGACTTACTCAGACTCCCTTCTGATCTTCAGCACTGGATGCAGCAGCTCAAAAGGCACCAGGGACACATGGGGAGGAACAGAATTGTCTGGCTTCAGGACAAGGGCTGGAGGGGCAGCTTACTCCCAGACAAAAGTGCTAGTGCAAGCCATTGTTTCTTTGCTGAGTCTTCCCCACCCTCCCAACAGAGTCGGCACCATATCTGAGTCTCCATCAAACTGGCTAACATTGTTCACACTGCCCTGGTGATTCCCTGAGACCTTACACCACCCAACTTGTGGGTCAACTCAAACCCTGTCCAGTGGCTTTTCCACACAAATGTCCTCTATTGGCTCAGGTTTTGTACTTTCCTAAAATCTCTCAAACAAGCAGCATCTGGCCTTTGCATACCCTATACCTCCTACTAAGAAGCTATAGGGGTTGTACTAGAGGGAGCCAGCCTTGGTTCATGGCTCAGCTTCTCCACACACCTCTAAGCCCAGTACAAGTAGCAGTCATCTAAAGTTTGCTCTGTATCTCATACCAGGCGGCCCTGGGCAGGGCACAGGCTATGCCTGACTTTGATCTGCACCTCCTGGAAGGCCACAGAACCACTGTACCTGGTAGACAGCTTTAGACCACACCAGATTATAATCCACTACCTCCGTGAGTGACGCACATAAGGGGCAGACTCAGCGGGCCCCAAAGCCCCTGTGAAGCAAGTCCTAGGATTGACTATTGCACAGCAGTTCCTCCACTATAGTTAAAGCCAGTCCTTGCAGCTGATTGACCAGTGGGTCAATCCCTACTAGTGATATGCCAACAGTAATGAAGGCTCAATTACAATAGGACAGTGTACACAGCCCACACAGGATGCCAGGGTCAGGGTGCAACTGGAGTTCTCAGATCAGGTGACTGGGGAGGTTGTGCCAAGGGCTCTACAGGACACTTATTACATAAGGTCACTGTACCAAGCTTGGGGGATATAGCAGCTCTACCTAATAACAAACACAGGAAAGTGGCCAAAATGGGGAGACAAATGAGCAGGTAACAAATGGAAAGAACAGGACAAAGCTCAAGAAAAAGAGCTTAATGAAGTGGAGGCAAGCAAACTATCAGATACAGAGTTCGAAACAATCGTTATAAGGATGTTCATGGAACTTAGTGAGGATTTCAACAGCATAAAAAAGAACATGGAAACCATAAAAAAGAACCAGTCAGAAATGAAGAATATACTAACAAAAGTGAAGAGTACAGTACAGTCAATCAGGAGACATATAGATGAAGCAGTCAATCAAATCAGCAATTGGGAACATAAGGGAGAAGAAAACACCCAATCAGGACAGCAAAAAGAAAAAAGAATCCAAAAAAATGAGGAGAGCACAAGCCTCTGGGGCAACTTCAGTAATACCAACATTCCCATCATGGGGACGTCAGAAAGAGAAGAGAGAGAACAATTAATTGAAAAGGAGACAAGAGAGGACAATCAATTGAAAAGCTATTTGAAAAAAATGACAGAAAACTTACCTAACCTTGTGAAGGAAATAGACATACAAGTCCAGGAAGTGCAGAGTCCAAAACAAGATGAATGCAAAGAGGTCTACACCAAGACCCATCATAATTAAAATGTCAAAGGTTAAAGACAAAGAGAGAATCTTAAAATCAACAAGTTACCTACAAGGGAGCTCCCATAAGACTGTTCACTGATTTCCCAACAGAAACAATTTGTTTGTAGGGTAGAAGGGAGTGGAAACAAATATCCAAAGCAGAGACCTATAACCAACGTTACTCTACCCAGCAAAGTTATCATTTTGAATTAAAGGATAGATAAAGAGCTTCTCAGACAAGAAAAAGCTAAAGCAGTTTAGTACTGTCAATCCAGTATTACAAAAAAATGTTAAAGGGTCTCCTTTGGGAAGAAGAAGAAGAAACAAAAGCCCAAATATATAAGTAATAAAATGGCAATAAATACATATTTGTCAACAATTACTTTAAAGAAAATGGATTAAATTGTCCAAAAGACATACAGTGACTGAATAGACAACAAAACAAGACCCTGATATATGCTGTCTACAAGATATTCACTTCAGATCGAAAGACACACACAGACTAAAAGTAAAAGGATGAAAAATGATATTTCATGAAAACGGAAACAAACAAGCAAGTAAAACTGGATTAGCAATACTTATATCAGACAAAATAGACTTTAAAACAAAGGCTATAATAAAAGTCAAATAAAGACCCTGTAACTCCACTTCTAGGTATTTATAGGAAGAAACTCAATGCACTAAACTGAAAAAACATATACATTCCTATGTTTATTGCATCATTATTTACATTAGCTAAGATATGCAAGCAACCTAAGTGTCCATCAACAGATGAATGAATAAAGATGTTTCTGGTACACATATACAATGAAATATGATTCAGCCATTGTAACAACATGGATGGACCTAGAAGATATTATGCTAAGTGAAATAAGTCAGACAGAAAAAAATCAAAATAAATGAACAAGAAAAAAAAAAAAACAACTTACAGATGCAGAGAACATTTTGACAGTTGCCAGATGGGAGAGGGTTCGAGGGGGATGGGTGAAAAAAGTGAAGGATTGAGAAGTACAAATTGACAGAATAGTCATGAAGATGTAAAGTACAGCATAGAGAATATAGCCAATAACACTGTATATGGTCAATAATATAGTTAATAATATTGTATATATGGTGTCAGATGGGTACTAGATTTATCAGGGTGATCACTTTTTAAGTTATATAAATGTCTAATCACAGGGTTGTACACCTGAAACTAATATAATACTATACATAAAGTGTAATTAAAAAAACTTGAATTAATTCAATGTTATTTTGCCAATGGCCCTAAGTTCTTTTATCTCTTGCAGCCCCTTAAGTTTAGAAAATAGTCTTAAAGTGAAAAAAACTTAAAAATTTTTTTAAAAAGTGATTTTAAATTGTAAGTCTCTTGAAGCAAGAGACCATATTTTATATATTTTATCCTTTCCCAGAAACTTGACTTGTCCTCAGAACACTTAGCATCATAGAAGATGCTCAGTAACATTTATAAAAGGGTAATTTAGTTATTATTTGAAATTTGTTGCATATGTTTTTATACTGGACATCATTTACTGTTAAAATTAGATGCCCCAAATGAAGTCATTAAGTTAACAGGGTAAGAAATATTCTATTTTAGAGTTAGGCTTTATTTACAAGAGACTTCCAGTATGAAAATAAGTGACATGGAAATAGGGACAGATTCTTTAATCTCCTTTTTTCCTTTGGAAACAACTGGCTTCTTGAGCTTTGATATTTCCTGACATTCCATCCATGCCCACAAATGGTCAGATTCACAGTTACTTCTCATCTAGAATGAGTTATCCCTCCTCTGAAATTTTCACTTGCTTCTCTTGTAGCTAAATGATATAGCATTGTAACAATTTGTTTATGCATCTATCTCTCACACCAGATTGAGCTATTAGGGTTCAGGCACCCTCTTATGCTCTGTTCATCAGAGTGACTGTCATATACTATCTCCAGAGCCTGTAAGGGCAGATGTTCAATAAATGTAAAATAAGAACAGAAAGACATGTGCATATATCAAAGAAATAGCATCTAAACATCATATGTACTTACAACATAATTGAAGGATGTATCGGCAAGCACTGCAAATTGACGATACAATGTGTGCCTGGTAAACATCTCATTCTTAAGGACATGAAAGCTGAAATAAAAGCAATAGTGAAATTTGAATATATAGAAATCATAGGATAAAGCAAATATCAATGTGATGTTCATATGGTTAGGAACTAAAATTTTCAATGTAAGAGAAAAGAAATACAAGTAAAAACTTTAAAATATGAGTATGAACTTATTTCTTCTTTCATTTTTAAAATTGCATATTTTCCAGCCCTGAAAGGCACAGATGCAATGGCAACACAGTATCAATAATCATCCTGAGGGCTGAGACTGTGGTTTAAAGACATTGCTCATAAAATGAACCAGGACATCTTTCAGAAATGGCTGTTTCTAAAACTAAAGCAACAGATGTACTAGATGAGCCTGAGACATTCTTTTGTTAAGGGAGTCATCAAAGATTATGTCAAAAGAACACTATTCAATTTTAAAGGGTTCCCATTAACTTTAAGATAGGAGAAATTAAACATAAAAAATAATGATTACAACATATTAAAATACTACAAATGTATTACAAATCTGGGAAATTCTCAGTCTGTCTATATTGCAAACAATGCTAAAATTAGGGGATTCACTATCAAGAAAGCATGCTCTGCAGAGAAAGCCAAGAGTATGCCAGAAAACCTTTGTCTAACAAGTAGGAAGAAACAAAACAATCACAGTATTCAATTACCCAGGGGCCTCTTAGAGATTAGGTTTATGTCTCATGAATCAAAACCATAATGAGGTAGCATTACATAGCTACAAGGATGACTAAAATCAACAAGCTGATAATTTCCTGCCCACCAGCCTGGCTTATGGTGCCTCAGTGAACTTTCCCACCTTCCACGGGCCACAGATATACCTACTGGAGGTCTGAATCTCAGTCTTTTGGAGAGAACACTTTTCCTCAGCCCTAAAGGTAGAAATTGCTTCATACATTATGTTACTCCTCTATTCTTTAGAGTTCTCTTTACTTCGTTTAGTAGTTAATCACCTTTTATTAGTTAATATTTCTTTTTTAAAATATATTTTAAAACATATTTTATATTTTGTGCTATAATATATATGCCATTACTGTTGTCCCAAATTTTCCCCTGTGTCTCCATCCATCCAGAACCCCTCATTCCCTCTGGCAACAGCCCTCCCCCCATTAGTTGATGTCCATGAGTCATGCATAGGTTCTTTACTATTCCATATCTTATACTGTATTTTACATCCCCATGGCTATTCTGTAACTATTTGTGCTTCTTCATCCCCTCACCTCCTCACCCATTCCCCCATAACCCCCTTTTATCTGGAAACTATCAAAATGCTCTCTGTATGCACGATTCTGTCTCTGTTCTTCTTGTTTGCTTAGTATGTTTTTAAATTCAGTTGTTGATAGATAGGTATTTATTGCCATTTTATTCATAGTTTTGATCTTTTTCTTTTGGTTAAATAAGTCCCTTTAAATAGGTAATTGTTTCTTTTTCTCTTGCTGCTTTTAAGATTCTCTCTTTATCTTTAACCTTTGGCATTTTAATTATTATGTGTCTTGGTGTGGTCCTCTTTGGGTCCATCTTGTTTGGGAATATCTGTGCTTCCTGAACTTGTATGATTATTTCCTTCACCAGGTTAGGGACTTTTTCTTTCATTATTTTTTCAAATAAGTTTTCAACTTCTTGCTCTTTCTTTTCTTCTTCTGGCAGCTCTATGATTCAAATGCTGGCATGTTTGAAGTTGTCCCAGAGGCTTCTCACCCTATCCTCATTTTTTTTTTTTTGGATTTTTTTTTCTTCTTTCTGTTCTGATTGAATATTTTTTTTTCTTTCCTTATGTTTCAAATCATTGATTTGATTCTTGGATTCAACCACTCCACTGTTGATTCCCTGTAATTTTTTTCTTTATTTCACTTAGTATAACGTTCATTTTTGCCTAGGTCTTTTTTATGATGTTGAAGTACACAATGAGTTCCTTGAGCATTCTAATAACCAGTGGTTCGAACTCTACTTCTGATATCTGCTTATCTCCATTTTGTCTCATTCTTTTTCTGGAGTTCTGTTCTTTCATTTGGGTCATATTTCTTTGTCTCCTTATTTTGGCAGCCTCCTTGTGTTTGTTTCTGTATATTAAGTAGAACTGCTTTGACTCCCTGTCTTAGTAGCACGGCCTATTGTAGAACGTACACCCATTAGTTGGATGGGGTGGAGCCTTAGGTAATCGCCAGGATGTCTTTTTGTACAAAAAGACAGGAGATATGTATGAACCAGGTTTATGGAGTCTCAGGTATGGTGTTACTTCTCTGTGGCTCTGTGTGGAGGAAGGCTCAGGAAAGGGACAATGGCCACTGCTGGCTTCTGGAGTTTTCTCTGGGAGGAAGCTGTCCTCCAGCCCTCACCCTGATGCTTCTATCTGGACACTTCAGTTTCTCCCTATATGCCACTGGTGCTGTTTCAGCTGATGCTCTGGTATTGGAGCTCAGAGGGAGTGAGTCTGCATTGTCCAAACTTTGTTTTGGTCCCTTAAGAGAAAATGCCTAAGAATCCCTAAGTTTCTTCTGCTGCCCCAATCCCCACTGGTTTTTGCAGCCAGAAGTTATGGGCACTGGTCCCCCGGGCTGGGTGGTCTGGCGTGGGGCTGGGATCCCTTGCTTCTGAGGTATTGCTCCTGATTTTTATCCACCACATGTGTGGACTGCCTGTTTTGTGTTGCTGTGCCACCACGTCCTCTGCTCCTCCCTTCCTACCCATCTGGATGAATGTGATTTCTTTCATTCCTTGGTTGTTGAACTTCCATACCACTTGATTTTCTGACGATTCTGGATGATTGTTGTTTTGCGGTTTAGCTGTAATTTTTGCTGTGGCTGTGAGAGGAGGCGATCTGTGTTTACCTATACCTCCATCTTGACCAGAAGTTTTGCCTAATACTTCTTGATATAAAATTTCTTTGTTCAGGTGTTTCCTGACTAAATCCTGACTAATTCACTTAGTCATGGCAAGGATGTGTATACCCAAAGTGGAAGATTGGATTACAGTTTGCCCACATTTGGTGAACCCTTCCCTGTCATGCTCCTCCCCATGAGAGGACAATATATTACCATCATATTGAACTTAAGCCCATAGGACATGTTTTGTTAATAAAGTGCTAACAGAACATGGTTTGTGTTACTTATGGGCAGAAATTTTAATCCCTGGTACATGGTTTGCTCTGTTTCTTTTGTCTCTGCCAAGACAATATTCTAGGTAGAAAATGCTATATCAGCCTGGGCTCTAGAGTGAAGATAACAATGAACAGTGCCACAGGACATGTAGAATGAGTGAAATAAGCCATTCTTATTTGAAGCCACTAAGATATTAGGGTTGTCTGTTACTGCACATAGCTTAGTAGATCCTGACTGAATTGCCCTATGACTAGAAATTCCTCCTGGAGATGCATATTTCTAAACCAATTTTTGTACAAAAAGACAGGAGATATGAACAAGAATGTTTATTGCAGCATTGTTTGTATTACTGAAATATTGGAAACAAACTAAATATGATACTGTAAGGGAAGGATAAATAACCTGTAGAGTGTTTATAATGTATAATACTATACAGCACTTAAAATATGTAAACCAAATCTTAAGAATCAACTTCAATTTCAAAATTATAAAAAGTGAAAAAATTGGTAAGTATGTTATGATTGTTAATGTACATTATATAAGCTTTTAAAGCACACAAAATAGTTTTCATTATTTACCATTACTCAGATATAAATTTATAGTTAATAAAGATTAAAAAGGTGAAAGGAAGAAGAAATGTTAAATTTATTATGTTGACCTCTAAGAAAGAAGGAAGAGAAATAGGATTGAAGATACAAAGAGAATTTAAGTGTATTAGAAGTTGTTAAAAATTAGATTTAAAAAAACTGTACATCTTTTGATCTATGAAAGTTACTTGTAGACATCTATATTACAGAAATAATAGCAATAGGATATTAAGAAAACACAAGACTACTAAATGCAGCATTGTTTAAATGGAAAAAATTAATCAGCCTTATGTATGTGGATAAGTTATAATCCACATATATAAGAGGACCATGTGGCCATTAAAATGAATGAGGTGTATCTAAATGTCTTGATGGGAAAAGTTGTCCAAATTAGTGTTAAGTAAAAAGGAAAAGTTGCAAACTAATGTGTACATGATTTTAACTTTTGTAAAAATATATTATATAATGAATAATGTTGCAATTAACATGGGATTGCAGATACATCATCAGTACCTTATTTTCACATCCTTTGTATATATGCCTAAAAGTGGGATTGCTAGATCATATGGTAGTTCTATTTTTAATTTTTTGAAGAACCTCCATATGGTTTTCAACAGTGGCGGAACCAATTTACATTCCCATCAACAGTAAACAAGTATTCCCTTTTATCCACATCCTCACCATTAATTTTTTTAAAAAAATTTATTGATGATAGCCATCTAACAAGTGTGAAGTGATACCTCATTGTGGTTGTGATTTGCATTGCCCTTATGATTAATGATGTTGAACATCTTTTCATGTACCTGTTGGCCATCTGTATGTCTTCTTTGGAAAAATGTATATTCAGTTCCTCTGTCCATTTTTTAATTATATTGTTTTGGGGTAATTTGCTTTTTTTTTTTTTTTTGCTATTCAGTTTTATGAGTTCTTTATATATTATAAATATTAACCCCTTAGCAGATACACATATGATTTCTAAATATTTTCTTCTATTCTGTAGGTTGCCATTTAATTTTGATGATGATTTCCTCTGCTTTGCAGAAGCTATTTAGTTTGATTTAGTCCCACTTGCTCATTTTTGTTTCTGTTGCTTTTGTTTTTGGTTTCAAATCCAAAAGCTCATTGCCAAGACCAACGTCAAGAAGTTTACTATCTGTGTTTTCTTCTAGGGATTTTACAGTTTCAGATCTTAAATTTAATAACTAATCCATTTTCAGTTGATTTTTGTATATGGTGTAAGATAGGATTCAAGTTTCATTCTTTTGGGTGCGGCTGTCCAGTTTTTCCCAATATCATTCATTGAGGAGACTGTCATTTCCCCACTGAGTATTCTTGGCTCCTTTGTCATAAATCAATTGGCCTTATAAATGGATTTTTCCATTTATTTGTGTCTTCTTCATTTTCATTCATCAATGTTGTTGGGAAACGCCCCATCTGGTTTTAGGGACTGCAGCCTCGCAGACAGGCAAGAGGGCCCCAAGGCTGGAGCTAAGCAAGGAGGCCTTGGGAAAATAGGCCATCAAGGAGACAAAACCTGTCCTCCTGTCTGAGGCACAGCCCTGCCTCCCTCACATCACCCTGCTTGGCCCCAAAGGATGGCTGGTTAGTCAAGGACAGGTAAGACCCCTCGATGGCAGGGGCAACCTAAGACAGGCACAGCTGCATGAGCATCAGGGAAGAACTTGGGGGACACAGAGAAGGGGAAAAAGACCCTCACCCCTCGGCTTTGATATGGCTGGAGTCCTCATTCTACTGGAAAAGAGTCTCCTTATCTCTTGGTGGCTCTGCCCCGCCCATTTGGCTCAAGCTTGAAACAATACTAAAGTCAAGTACAGCTCTAAACTGGATTGGGTAGTTCCTGGGGTGGGGGTGGGGTGGGGCTGGAATCAGGTCTAGAAGTAAGATTTTGAAGCATGCTCTGTTCTTCCCTCAAAAGCTATGAAAACCGGCTCTACCTGGGGAGGAAATTTACATTATTCCAGACCCCAACCTGAGGCAAATCTCTTGTATTCCTTCAACTGTTATCTATGATCTCTATTCGTTTTCTGTAAACATAGCCTTTTGACACTGATTGATAAGCTTTGCATCCTTTCTCCAGCCAGCGCACATGGTTCTCAATAAAAGCCACTTCATGAGAAGGACTCCGGGCATTCTCCACTAGAGGGAACTGCTACCCCTTCCCCTGGCAGACTGAGAGAAAAATGTCTGGGATGACTTATTTTATTTCTCCATCTGTGACGACCAGCAATGTACTCTGTGAGACAGAGTTTGCCCTCTACCTCACAGTTTCTTATAATTTTCCTTGTACAGATCTTTCACTTTTTTGGTATGTTTATTCCTAAATATTTTATTCTTTTTGATGCAATTGTAAATGGGGTTGTTTTTAAATTTCTGTTTCTGGTAATTCATTGTCAGTGTATAGAAATGTAATTGATTATTTAATATTGATTTTGTACCTGGCTCAGAAGGGTGCCTGCCTATGGACCGCCTCCTGGGGTTAAGGTGGGAGTGGCTGCATTATTTTGGCATCACCCAGGTAGTGATCTAGTCCTGGGATGATGTACTACACCTGTGCACCATTTATGCTGTGAGAAAAGGCAATGATGACATCAGCAGGTGAGTGAGGCATGCCATGATAAGAGGAAGGACTAAGCTCTGCCTTTTCCATCACTGTTTAAATTCAATTTTTCTGGAAACAAAGCCAACTCAGCAGGGGAAAAAAAGCTTTGAGAAAAAGCTCTGAATTGGACTGGTACTGACTATAAATCATGAATTGGCTGAGAAATCATGGGATTAAACTGTTACCTTGACTGGCTAAGGTGAAGTTTTTCTTTTATTAAACAAAAATGATTGCCCCTGATCTACGATCTGTAACTGTAAAATGAAATAACCATTTTAGCACACACAAATCTCCACCTGTACAATTCATCTCCATACCACACCATGAGACAGTACTTTGGATATACACACTCTCTCTGTTTGTGTGTATCACTTTGAATTAACATTCGGTGATGCAACCAAACTAGAGAGACATAATGCATTATGCCCTGACATTATGCTATATTTAGTCAATTAAATGAAGGGGGGCATATTAGGGGGTGGAGGAATTAAGCAAAAAGGAGAAAGGACTCGTGGGCATGGTCAACAGTGTGGTGATTGCAGTGGGGAGAGGGGTATGAGGAGACTAAATGGTAATAGAAAAAACACACAAAAAAATTTTAAAAAAGAAAACATATAGAAAGTGTGTAATAGCACTTCCTGCTGTCCTAAATATTTAGGTAACAACACAAAATCTGCAGAGACCAAAGTGATGAATACGATTGCCAACATCTTGGTTAACAGGAAATCATTCTGAAGTAAAACTAAGACAGCCTTGTTGTAAATGTTCATTGAGTATATGATGAATCCCATAGAGACAGATACAATGTAAATCTTAAGGATGAAAAGTAAATCCCACAAAAGTAAATAAAGGAAAGACATTTTCTACTCGGTTTCAGAGATAGCCCAAAGTCCGTGTGCAAGGAAATAAAAGTTAATGTGTATTTAAGCATTCTTTGTTCTCAATCTCTTGTTTTACCTGTATCTAGACACTATCCTTATAATGACTCTGTGAAGTGTCAGGGTAGGTATCAATATGCATGTTTTTTTCAGAGCACAGAGTAGTTATCAGCACGGAAGTGAAACACAAGCAGAAGTGGAAAGCAGAACATTTTACTAAAGGATGAGATCCTTCACTCATAATCTGGTGGTATTTCTGTTATAGAGATACACAATGTGCCTCCTGGGATTATTTTATTGTAATGTATATGTTAATACATAGAATTTTTATACACACGCATAGTGTATCCTTATGAAACACAGTGCAAACATAGGGCATGATCACCCCATGAAGTCAGGTGTGAGACTCAAGTGTGACCTGGGACATCAGACCAACATTGAATCTATCCTGTCTTGATGCTTGACTGTGAGAAAATCTTGCAAAGAAATCATCAATATGTGATTAAAAAAAAAAGATAGAATCTACAGGAAATTATGGCAGGAACCAAGAGAATAGAATATGAATTTTCATGTTATCATGTTAGGACAAGAGAAAAAAATAAGCATTATTTTTTCTGCTTGGCATTGCTTTTAGCTTTTTCAGAATTTTACAGTGTCATTTTCTCCATTTTTTTTTTACTTCCTCCATCTTTGGAAAGACAAAGATGACATAGGGAAAATGAATTAAAATAACTATGTAAATGAAAATTAGATCTGAGAATTAAGGAGTTGGTGTGGTTTTGCCTGAAAAAGGGAAGAAGATCTAGTATATCAAACAATTTTACAAAGAAAATATAGACCAATTAAATATGATTATGTACAATTGAGCAGGAAAACATTGTAACAGCCCTATGAAGGAAGATGACTATGTAGGTCTGACTAAGCAGGTATCAAGCAGGTTTAAAGTCTCAACAGGACAAGCAGGTATAAAGCAGTGCCTGTCCTGTTGAGACTTTAAAAGTTGAAACATTGAGATTGGGAATGAAACAGAGTTTTAAACTATTTTTTTTTGAAGTGACTTTGACTTTCTTCTATTTTAGGCCAATTATTTTGCATTTCTTGTTAAAGGCGTATGAGTGCATTTTATATTAATTAATATGTACAGAAAAACCCGTCCTCATCTCCTTAAAAGATGATTAATTACATTTTTATAACCAGAATTTGTATATATCACACACTATACCTGTTCCTGAGAATAATGAATTTCTTTTCCCAGATTTTGCTTATCCGTTCTGATTCCCTTTTAAACCTGTAATAAATTTATAAATGGTTAAATTTTGTATTAGCTACAAATGAACAGTTATGAATCATTATTTCCAGTACCTTTCTGCCTTTTTTTTCTCATTCTCTAAGCTAGCCTTTAATATTTCTATTTCTTTCTCCAAAACACGTTTGTCTTCAACCTTTCAATAGAAAATACATCACAAAGTTAATTACATGAACAATACACTCTGTTTCTCCATAAGTCTGAAAGGCTATTTCTAATACATAGCATGCACATTTTAATTATCAAAAATAATTTGAGGGAATAATGAGTTACATTTACTTGCAGATTCCCATAAATTAGAAGAATTTAAGATTCTACATTTCCATTGCCTGTAAATGATTCACTGAAAGGCAGCCAGCTCTAGACAGCATTATGAAGCAACCAAATTTATCTCCATCATCCCTCCCCTTTCCAGGTACCTCTTTTTCTAGATCTTGTTTTCTCTTATTTATTGTGACCTCTTCAGCCCTTTATCATAGGCAGCAGCTGCTTTCAGTTAGTCTATTTTCTCTTTCTAGCAAAACTGTTCTCAGGAAAAGATCTGACCAACTCAACCACACTAGTGCTTTTTATTATTTTTCAGTATTATTTACATTTTACAAGGGAAAATGTTTTAGCAAAAGGTATGAATCTCTAACAGGAAAATTTTAGGCATTTTAAGAATAAGAGAGATTTCTTTGAATGTGGCATGGCTGTATCCCGGATAATACTATAGAGGCAATCATGTCCTCTGTCTCTTCATAAGACTAATTCTCCATCAGTCATTGCTACTTACTAAGAATAGCCAGCATCAATATGAACAATAATTAGGTTAATAATAATGGTCATATTAGTCAATGTTATACCTTAACCTCTGCTGTTTTCACCTTTTCTTCATGTGTCTTAAGAGGTGTTTCAGCTATATCCTGGTGAAGAAATAAACCAAGGTAAATATAGGGTGTGACAAAAGTAGGTCTACAGTTGTGAGCACATGAAACACAGAGTTTATTTTTGTTATTATTTATTAATTATTTTATTATTTTCCATATGGACAACTGTAAACCTACTTTTGCCCCACGTGTATAACATTTCAAATTAATGCGTACAGATGTGGTTTCTCTGAAGCTTAAAGAAAGACAACCAAGACTTAAAGTATGGCAACCATAGTCCCACAGGGGTCTTCTCTGCCTTATCCAATTTATAAAGCTCAGTGTTTATATATTGCATTTGCAATTGAACAATTACAGCCCAACTTTGCCACTACTGTTTTTTAAAATGCGTTACTCTGTAATTATATATTGGTCAAATTTTACCATATACTTTTAAAAAATGAAATGGGCAGTTATTATCTGTGAAGACACAAACTTTAAAAAATCTTTTATTTTAAATGATACGCAAGGTGAATTTTTGCTACTATACCTTACTGATGATGAGGAGTATGATGGCAGAGAGAATATACTGAATATAAAAGTTTGCTTGGTTGGCTATAGCTATATTCCTAAACAATAGACAGGAAAAAAAATGCTCCTTATTGCCACCACTATCTTCTTTAGTGGATTCTGAGACCCAAAAACCCTTGATCTGTTGCCCTTCTTCATGGGGTGGGGTCTGCCATGGAGGGTCGGAGCCAGGTCTGAGTAGGAGTCAGAGAGTCCTGCCGAATAAAATAAATGGGACCTCGAACTTCCCCAAGCAATCAGAAGTGCAGGCTGGGAAGAGAGATAGAGGAGAAAATGGTGAGGCAAGACCCCAAGACTACAGGTGCTAATATGTAGTCAAGCCGTGGCTGACCAGTGGCCAGGGTGATGTCCAATATTCAATTTGAAATGGCATCTTGGTGATGTAAACTGTTCCTGTCAATTAACCCTCTTCAATCTCCTAAACTTACATGTGCAAAGGTGTCATGTGAGTGGGTGTTTTTAGTAGAAATCATAGAACTGGATTGAATTCAGTATCTGATTAAACAAAATGTGAAATGAGAAGGCAAACAGAGTACAATGAAACCCAGAAACTGACTTGGGTCAGTGGAAGAAAGAGCCCATTCACAGTGACAACTACCAGAAGATGCTGTAGCATCTGCAGAAGCCATGGGACACACTCTATGTTGCTGCAAAGCACAAAATTGGTTTGGCCCCATTTTACTTATATCTGAAGGGACAGAGAGAACCCAGCTGACATCAGCTACCAATATAAAAAGAGCGAATTTTGTTATAATATCCCTAAAAACTATAATTGAGTACCTACTCTGCGCCAGACACTTCGCATATATTACTGTTCATTTTTATACACTAACCTATTGACTTCTTCATTCATATTACCTTAGATTTTTAAATGATAGATTTATTTTAAAAAATTTATGCACATATTTTAAAAATAAGCTGTAAGCAGAATAGTATAGAGTGCGGCCTAGGGATGCTGACGAAGGACTGAGGAAGAGTTGCAGCTACTTTCTGGGAGCCGATGTTGCCAGGATTGCCAAAATGCATTGGAATTTTTAACTGACTTTAAGAAAAGTCCAAAAATAGATTTGACACTGTCAGAAGCTGCAGAAAGGTGTATTCAATGCCAATGTATCAACAAAAAAGACAGCTAGAGTTAGTGGAAGCAAATCTTCTTTGTTTTGTGTTTCCCAACGACCTAATATTTTGTGCAGATGACCAATCAATGCATAAGTAAATGTTGACTCTTTATAATCCCTATGAGTTTGCCTTAAAGTTCAAAGTTTTGTGTAGTATTCTAAATAAATAGGTTGTTTTTGATGCTGCAGGTGCAGCAAAGCCTCATGGTCATGTGGATGTTGCAATTTGTCGTGTGGATATGTTTGATCCTGTCACTACGATGTAATAAACAAATTCAGTCTCCAAGTTTCTGAACAAAACCAGAGGAAGCCTTTAGGAAGGAAAGAGGTTGTGGCTACTCTTCTCTCTTCTGCAAGAGAGCAACAAAAGGAAGAAGAAGAAAAAAGAATAAAGGAACCATAAAGCAAAAGTTTACTTTTTGATCAATCATTTCAACCAGAAAACAGAGCTGTCTCCTCAGGACCTAGTTCACTGTCTTGCTGGGAGTGCTGTGCATTGATGCTTCCTACACTGGGGGATGTGGAATTGCCGTACCTCTCTCCCTTCACTTAAGTGTGAATCAAACATCAGCTTACATCTTTAAGTCTTATCACAATGTCTCTACTTAGAACATGACTTTGAAGTAAATTTATCTTGAAAATACGAATGTGGACTGCCTTTTATCTCTATCTCACTCCATTAACTTGATACAAACTATTGAATAATTTACAACAATTATAAATGTATATGTTTTAAAAATTATGATTTTATTCAAAGTGCTTCAGCACATTATGTTACAGACATCAGAATGCCTCTGGCACCTAGGAAATTCTTTGAAGTTCTTTTTATATCTAAACCTACATGCAAAAGACTCTAATTAAAACACTTACTATTTTCTCAAAAAAAAAGTGTACATGAACATAAAACTTACTTCCCAGAAGCCAAGGTGTTTTTGGTTTTTAGTTTTTCTCATTATTATCATTATAAATAAACAATAGCTTTTATTAATTTGGGCTCCCCACAGATAAACTTTAAAATTTTAGAGCATTCACATTACCTTCCACCTTCTCTCTGACACCTCACATGCTTGATTTTTTTATTTGTAGATGTCATTACCTTTATTATGATTTCAATATATGTAAACTTGTATACTTGATATATTAACTCTTTGTTATGAAAAATGGCATAAATTTAAAAGGCTTTATCTGTTTTAGAGAGAGGGAGGGGAGGGAGAAAGAGAGGAAGAGAAACATTGATGTAAAAGAGAAATATCAATTTGTTGCCTCTCTAACACAACCTGACCAAGGACCAAACCTGCAACCCAGGCATGTATCCTAATCGAGAATCAAACCTGTGAACTTTTGCTTTGTGGGACGATGCCCAGCCATCTGAGTCACATCAGTAAGGGTGAAAAATAGGAAATTTATTTAGTCCTGTATGTTTTCCAACATCTTCACTCACCCAACTTCCCCGTTTTTAGAAGGAAAGTTACTTTTACATTGTCAATGTCTATAGAATTGTTCTCTAACTATAATTAAGTTCTTCATGCTTTATCCACATATTGATTCTAAAAACTGCAGTCTAGTAAATAACATTAAAAATGTGTTTATATAAATATTGCTGACTATAGGACCAAGTAATATAACTATCCATAAAGAAGGAGGTGCACACCTGTTATTAAACTTTGCCACTGAAAGAACTCCCTTTCAAGTGTTTGTTTAATGTTTCAACTTTTAATTTTTTTCTAGCTTTCCTCACTTCTGAGTCATTCCTAGTTTCTCCTTTTTATTGTGTCCATATTATCATGCATATTTTTTTTGCATACTCAACTAAGATTTTAGCTGGATATAAGAATTAGGGTTTAAACATTTCTTTTCCTTTTGAACAACTTGTTTTATGTCTTTTAACTTTTTCATAATTTCTGTCTGTTATTTTGTACTACTTCTAAGAGACTTTTTTTCTCTTTGTCTTCCAGATTATTGCTTAGATCTTCAGCTGTGCCAATTTTATTTTTCAATGTGCTCATTGCCATTTTTTAAAGTTGTTATTTTCAACAAATTGTTCTTTTCCTCAGATTTGTTTCTTTTTCATAGCAGCCTGCTTACTGGATGAAAGTTTCTCTTGAACCTTTTCCAAAATATATTTATTTTAAAAATGTCTCTTAAGGTCTGTGTCTGTTTCCTAAATTAACTGTTTCCTGCAGGGCCAATGGCTTTGTTTGTTTTCCTTGTTCTTTCACTTGTTAAATATTTGCTGAATTCCTGCTATGTGCCAGGAAATGTTCTAAGCCTTGAAAATACAACAGAAAATAAAACAGGGCTAAAGTAGAGAAGATACATTTGAGAGGAATTATGAAAGGTACAATTTAGAGCACTTTTTGAGTGACAATAGAACTGCCTATAATTTCTTATTCAAGCAACTAGATGGAGAATGGTACCATTCAGTATGATAAGAAAAAAAAATAGACATAGGGACAATTTTTTATGTTAGTCTTCTTTCTCTTCCTCCCTCCCGCCCTCCCTCCCTCCCTCCCTCCTTCCTTCCCTCCCTCCCTCCCTTCCTGACTGCCTGCCTGAGGAAGAGTTTGGTAAATGCAGTT